GATGTCCCAAGTGATTGTGTCAAGCATAATCTGGTTTATTAACTCTGACCCACTACTACTGTTGCTGCTAACATGATGGCCCTGATGTCTCGGAATCTCATCCAGAAGGTAGACTCCATTCACCTCACGTCCACTCCCAATCATCTTCTTTGACTCCAGATCCTGCAAAACACAATTAGTAGGAAGAAAGGTCACAGAACAATTCAAATTTTTTGCCAAAGAACTAACAAAGTAGGTTGGTATGAAGTCTAGGGACATATAAAACAGAGGACAGAGTTATATCATTGGTCACTCTAACTGCCCCCTTCCCAGCAATGGGCATATGTGAACCATCTGATAGGAACTGAAAATGATAGGGGCATTAGTCATATGCTCAGATGCTCCTGAGTCTATAATCTAGGGAGGTCCCTCCTTATCTAAAGTGGATGCAAGATTCGCAGTTGCATATGAACTACCTGTATGTGCAAAGGAAGTGATGTATTTGGCTCTTGCATTCTGCTGTCCATCTAGAAGGCTAGAGCTGGGTGAATCTTTCTTACTCATAAGCTGTCCAAATCTCTCCAATTTTGTTCTCACTACTGCTATTGCAATGGATTCCCAATCAATTTGGGAGAGAAGGGCTGAAGAGTCTCCTGTAGTGGCTACATTTGCATTTTCCTTCTTGTTTCTTATCCGAGCAGGCATTAGATCTGGATGAAACTTCCAACAAGTGTCCCTGGTATGCTTAAGCTTCTTACAATAATCACACACCAGGTCCTTCTTATCTGCCCTTCTAGTCTTACTACTCCCCCTGTCTCCATTCGGCTTAGGTTTTGTTGTACCAACCATAGCCAACTGGTCAATCCCAGGCTGTCTCAGCATTACATTCCTCCTACTCTCCTCTCTAGAGACAAAAGCATAGGCCTGAGAGAGTGTCACACCCTCCCTAGAAAGAACTCAAAAACCCTACTCCTCTCTACCAGTTTGTGATAAGTTGCTGCATCATTTACACTTTCCCATACCACAGTTTCTAAGTGATCTATTTCCTGCCATAGGGTTTTCAGYATGGAKAAATACACAGCAAGAGGTTTTTCTCCCTGTTTCATATTTATCACCTGATTTCTTAACTGATAGGCTCTGGCTTCATTTTGCTTCTGAGAGTAGGTTTCAGTCACTCCGTCCCAAATCTCTATAGCAGTATTAGCCCATAGGAAATTTGTTACCATGTAATTCTCTTGCACCCATCGGGAAGAGTCTGTATCAGGTTTCTTCTCCTCCCCAGTGAGATACCCTAATTTTCCACGGGCACCAATAGCTATTTTAGCTAATTGTGCCCACTCCAAATAATTTTTACCATCAAGTTTTACTGTAGTAATGATCTCAGACCCAAAAATATCACTACTACCTCCAACACCCAGTCCCACAGTACCGGTAGATTTCATCTCGGTATTCCAACTCTCCATTTTACTTCAAACATTTCAACAGTAAGAAAAAATAGATTGGAGACCTTCAAAAAATAATTTAATACCATACACAGAAATCAACCCTTCCGGAAGAAGAAAACCCTAGCTGGAGGGAAATCTCTCTCCTCCCCATGCCTCCCAACAGAAAGAAAAGTGAATCGATCACTTCGGGAGGCCTAGAAAATTTCAGAAACCAAACCGCCCTCTTCAGAAAATCAAAAGAAAACTAACAATACCTAGGCGTCCAAGATCAGATCAAAAACAAGGAGTCCAACTTTTTTGGGACTCTTCCCTATATTCCAGTTCTTCCTGATTTTGATGTCGAACAGTAGATCACCTTCCTGATGTCTAGATCCCACCAAAAACTCCAAGAACTGGGCAATCTATAGCAGATCGATCAGCCCTTTACTACTTCATGCAGTCRGCTGATCTARGGCTGCATGAGAATGCTTCAAGAAACCCTAGCCGATGCTCTGATACCAAGTAGAAATCTGTTGAATTAAAAAATATAAAAGAAAGTAGTTTCTTGAAGAGAGAAGGAAGAGAGAAGGAGGAGAAGAGAAGAAGAGAAGTTGAAAGAAAAGAGAGCAATAATCTGGCCGCCCCCTTCACTTATTATTTATACTAAAATAATAGAACAGTACAAAGACAATTATGCCCTTATAGGGCGGCAAAACATAAAACAGCATAAATAACACTCAAAAACATAATAAAATTTGGACTCACATAACTACTATGGTCCCCACCTCCTATCTAACGTCTAACATAAAACATCTACTCAGAAAAACATCATAAAACTAATTAATCTTCAACATTTATTATTCTCTAGTTTCGTGGGAGAAGTTAACGAATCTCCAAATGCCCCGTACAGTGTGTTGGCTCCATCTAATTCCACTTGCATAGTGTTAAGGACAGAGAGAGGTGTTGCTTAGCCTCCATTTGTTTGCAGTACACATTTCATTTGCATTGGTGCAAATGCACAGAAGTGCAAACCGGGAGAATGAAAATTCTGGTTTACTTTTGCTTCGCAGTTTATTTTGTTTTGTTTGTTAAGGACAGAGTGAAGTGTTGCTTAGCCTCCATTTGTTTGCAGTACACATTTCATTTGCATTGGTGCAAATGCACAGAAGTGCAAATCGGGAGAGTTTCACTTTTACTTCACAGTTTATTTTGTTTTGTTTGTTTAGGAGTACAATGGGAAGAAAAATGATGTGGTCCTCACTTTGTATGGGGGAAAATGAAGGGTGCAATGTTTGCATCACCTTTTGGGATGCAAAATCTGCACCATCAATAGGTGCAATGGGAGAAGTTTACATTTTACCCATCTAGGGGTGCAAGTTGACATGGCAATCAAATGGCTACAAATCCAAACTAGATACTGCAAACAAATGGAACCTTAGCAATGCTGGTTCTCTTGAATAGGGAAAGTACCTTATTGTTGATTCCTAATCTTCCATAGGTCCACTATAATCCCAAAACATGTTGTAAACATCCTTGAGGACCATCCCACCCATTCAGGCCAAGGTGGGGATTATCAAGAGACTTACTCTCAAATTTTAACTTGACCTCCAAGCTATCTAAAAGGATAGGTGCCCTAGCGGGATTTTTAAATTCACCTAGAAGACTGGCTGCTTAGATTCCTTCCCCTCTCCTCAGTGGCACTACAACAGTACTTCATAAGAGATCACTTGTCAGCCCCAGATTTTACCACTGCTCAAAGCTTTTTTTTTTTTTTTTGATAGTCAAAGCACATAATTGTATTCATAATCAAACAGCCTTACTATCCTAAAAGAGATAAAAAGTAGAAGATATAACTTCACTATTTTTACTAAATGCTGAAGTTATATTGAATTCAGATCATGTAGATACACCAAAGGGTTGTACAGGATCAATTCTTTCCAATATCTCCTATAATGTTCATAATTTGATCCTTCAAAACCCTTAATAATGAGAGTCCATCACATCAACGTTCTCCCTGTTTTGATTAATTTCAATTAAATGGGAGACACCTTGCCATAGAAAAAATATTCTTCTCCTTCAGTGCACAAACATAGAGCAAAAGGGGGGAGATTCCTCAAAATGGATCCATGCTTATTAAAACATCACACTCACCGAGAAGATGTGAGCATGGGAAGGTTTCTTGGAGTGACTCATTGCCTCTGAAATAGCTAAATAAATGTAACACCAAAACTGTGATTAACATCATAATGCAAACATAAATGTGGTTTGCACCAACAATTTTTTAACATAACTTAACAGGTTAAGTGAGAAGGAAATTTCCATCAGTTAGTGTTTTGAAGTCAGGCATAGTGTGGTTGTGTGGTGTCTTTATAGATAAAGAGACAGAGGAATATACTATTCCGTTAAACTTCAAGATGTGGATATCAGTCCAGAAAATCCAGATTTGAGATGTTGGAAGGAGTGCAAGAAGGAGCACTTTGCAGTCAAGTCTCTTTACAAAACATTAAACCAAAGTCAGATTAAAATTCTAGCATTTAAAGGCATATGGTGTAACCCTATTCCTCCAAGAGTGGAAGCATTCTGCTGGCTGGTTGTGTTGCATTGTATTCTCACACAAGACCATGTGATGAATTGTGAATGTGACTCTCTGCGGGGGGAGTCCCTAGTCTCCATCTCTTCCTTTCTCAAACTGACACATGCAGATTGGCTCAAAGTTCAAAGAGCAGCCATAGATTTTAATGATACAATGGAATAGCTTCATTGAGAGTCTGGACCCTGATCTTCATCAATTTTAAAGAAATGTGGTCTTCATCCATTTGGCTTTGCTGTTTACACTTGGAATTCAAGCAAAGACTGATGAGCATGTCCTCTTCAGCAGTCAGTTTCCAGCCTGTTGTGGTAGATTATCATAAAGGGGAGGAACTGGAGCTGCAGAATATGGAGATAAGCAGTTTCTCATTCTTGGTGGGAATGGTAGAATGGTATGTGGGGGCCGGGTATACATTGCCAAGAACCACAACATTTATTTGAGAGCCGTCACTTTTAGTGTTTGTTTAGAAGCTTGCTGAAGTGATGTTATTGCTTGTACAACTGATATGAGAGTTTATACTAGGGCTATGAATTTCTAGCTTGCACTGCCAAACTGTAATCTCTTTCATAATGCACAAGTATTTGGTTCATAAGGTTATATTGGTTTTGTGTTTGCTAACTACAGATCATCTTTTCAGCTGAAGATTTGGTGTAAGAGTTGAGTTACCAAATCTAGAAGCTGGCTTATTGAAACTGATGATGTGAGTTCCAATAGATTCATATTCAAAGTTTTTTTTTTTCTCCTGGCTGTATTGCATATTTGAGTTTGTGTAGACTCTAGTGGCTTAGTAAGTATTAGGTGGCAAAGCCAATATTTCTTAAAAGAAATAAAGAATATAGGCTAGAGTAGGTGTCAATTGATCATGGCACCTGAGATTTATGGACTGGAAAAGGTATGCTGGTTGGGTTGTCATAAGCTAATCCACATGAACTAATATTGAGTTGTTCTGTTGTTGTCTTTCGAGACCATCTTTATGAGATGATTTTCTTTTTGGCATTGCAAATGGTATCTGTTTGTCCAAATTCAAATTTGAATCCAATCATATCAAGGCAATCTGAAGTTGATCTATCTATAACTGGATCAAATGTGGATCCACTCCAATTCAATCCAATAATACACACACATAATTAATATGCATCTTTAGTAAAGTTGGTCTTAATGTTGTATGTTTACCAAGGAGTGAGGAGTCATCTGTTCAAGTCTGAACCAAGTCTATACATGGTATTGGCTGCTAAAACCTGATGGGCCAATGGAGAGGGTTCTCACTCCGTCCACACCCACTGCTTTTACTTTCCTTGAATTTCATTAAATAGTTCTTTCCAATATCAACTAGTCTTTCAGTTATCTCCACGGGACATTTTCCTTTAATGGCCATCTTACAGAGGTCCTCATCTACCCACTTAGATTAAAGATCAACCCTTAGCCACAGAATATCTACACATTCCTTTGATGTCAAGGTTCTTTTATATGAGTCTGACATATCTGAGGCCTTCAATTGCTCCACGTAACAATTGTGACTTTAAGCTGGTCATTGTTTGGAAGTGCAATGCTTGTGAGGGTCACCACTCACCACGGCCAGTGCCCAGCAATTAGGAGGTTCTTTTGAAGCTAGTGAAGGAACTTGGTCACTATCAAATTCTTATTCTCTTGAAACCTTGTGACATGGTTGATTTTTGTAGAAGCTGTATGAGAAATTTTGGTTGTTTCTTTGTTACTCTGCAATTCCAATGATCCGTTGCTTGACAACTGTTCATGATCAACTTGATTGATTGTTCCTCTCCTTCAAGATGCAAAGGAAAATGGCTTAGATCCAGCTTCATATTGGGTTCCAACTCTGAATCAGTGACATTCAGAACGCTCCTATTGGAACTGAGAGTCCTCACCAATCTCTTGAAGCAGCAGAAGCAAGACAGAAACTTCCTGACCTGGCTGACAAACAACACAGAAGCAAGCTGGACAGATTTGTTTAATAACACCGCAATAGTCTGCATTCGTATACAGAAGTCCAGAAATAAATTTTTTGTCTCATGACTCATGAGCAGATTTGTATACAATACGGCAGTACCCATTTGTATTGTATGCAGAGCCATCATGTCCATGCAGATTTCTTTGTTCTTCACTGCTCCCGACCCCCAGGAAGGCATGGAGTTGCCCGTTGCGATGCAGATCAGGACGGTGCTGCTGAGCTTGCTGAGCTGGTCCTGGCGTCGAGGCATGGAAGTATTAGTGGCATTAAGAGATATTAAAATCTACAAGAGAACCAAAGCTTCATTTAGTGCATATAGACGTAAATAAAAATTTATGAAGAAAAATAGTTGTTCGTTTTCTCTTATCTCTTATTTCTTAAAGTGTAATTATACAATTTTTTATTTTTCAATGATACTCTAAAAAGACAAATAAAAACTTTTTTAGATATGGGGTCAAAATGGATATTTGATAACTTTCAGAATTGAGAATTCAGAATAATATTCTCTGCATTCAGACTTCAGAGGAAAGAAAAGTTCACCAATGCCAATGTACCTCTTAGTGTAATTATTGCACGTTCAAATGTTAGACTTCAGAGCAAACAAACAGGCCCTTAGTTTTGCTTAGGAATGTGCATATTAGTAGCCATGGTTTAGAAAGAATTTTCTTTATCAAGATGCCTATTAATAGCCATGGTTAGAAAGAATTCAAATATGTTTCTCACATAGTGCACCTCACACCAACCGCATCGCACATCACAAGTGTGCATTGAGAACATCTCCCATACAGAGGTCCTCTGATGTCAACCCAAAACTTAGAAGTAGAGATATACATCACTTAGTATCCCCGCATGACATACATACATCACTTATGTATGTCATGTCTATAGGTGAGACCAGCCCAACCATGCACAATGCCAATTTGTGTGATAAGGTGCAAGAAACTAAGGTTGTTGATGGGTTGTCAGTTGAACAAGAGGATAAGGAGCTTGGAAACAAGATTTGGGAGCTTATTTTGGAGTTGATTAGAATTTGTGTGGAAAAGGAACAGGCTAGGATAGAGAGAGTTGAGTAGAGTGACACTCTGAATCCTAAGATGAGGGAGAAGTTGGAGAAAGCAGGAAATGTAACTAGCTCTTTAAAAAAAGGGAAGGGGGAGAAAAAGAAAAAGAGTCTTAATAAAAAAGGAGATGGGAAAGCAAAACCAATAGAGTCTAGGAAAAAGGGAGAAGAGACTTTAAAGAAGATAAAAAAGAAATTAAAGTGGAAAGACTCAAATGTGAGGTGGATTATGATAAGGGGAGCGTGGGTAGAAAGGGGAGGAAAAAATTGTAAAAGGGTCTTCTAGTAAGGGTTTGTTTTTGAATTGTGCCTATGAAGTTGTTAAGATGGTATGTAAGAGGTTTGGGGAGTTCATGAAAGAGATGAGTGATCAGGGGTATGTTGAGGAAAGAAAAGACAAACAGTTTTAATTCAAGAATCTAAGCTACTTGAGGTAGACAAGAGGTGGGTGCGGAGTATTTGGTTAGCTAATGAAGGAGGAGGTGGTTTCTAGAAATAAGGATGATGGTGGCCTAGGGATAGGAAACATTAGATTAAGGAAATCGTTGTTGGGGAAATGGGTGTGGAGGTTGCCATTGGAACAAGATAAACTCTAGCACAGAGTGGTCGTTACCATACATGGAATGGAAGACAATGGTTGGGATGCGGGTCTTGACCCTAGGGCCTTTCAATGTTCTCCTTGGAAAGTTGTTCATGAACTCCTACCTTCTATCCTTCCTTTTTTTCAAATTTGATGCTTGTACAAGGAATAAAGTGTTGTTTTGGGAATGTGGTTACCTGACTTGGAGGGGGGGGGGCAAAACATAGATTGGAGTCGCCATATAAATTTTTTTGGGAATTGGGTATTTAGGAAAACTCAAAATTTGAGATTTTTCAAGAAAAACAATTTGTTTTTTGGTGATTCATTGCTCAAGAGGGATGAAACTCTTAGGGTTTGGGGACCAAAGTATGATGTGGGAAGGTGTTAGGCACCCCACGCGTGTAGTTGAACTGGCTTCTACTTCACCAATATTCCAAAGAAGTTTAATAACTTTAGGCATAAATTATTGAAAATTTATACACTAATTAGGTAAATTGGAGAACATGCAAGGATTCAAAATTGTTTATGCTAATACATAATGTAAATTAAGCACTCAACAAAATGATGGAGAACATTAAATGGTAAATAAGATAAATGAAAATTTATCTATTATTTCACCACTTATGAATAATGCTATCACTAACCAACCTAAAAGGAAAAAGTATAAATAATAAAGAAAAGAGCATTGATTGGCTAAATGAATAATACTATTATTTCACCACTTATGCTTAACGATGATGTGATACTTGCAAAGACCATGGGAATTTAGTGATGATATGAGATAAGTAAGAGGAGTTCTAAATAGGTGAAAGTGTTGATAACCAAGAATTTTCAAGCAAGATGAAACAGACCCAAGAATGACTTTAGGGTAACACTAAAAATATAATGGGACCCTCTACTCTTCCACTCTAAGATGTAATGATTAAGATAAATGGATGTGACATGCACATACAACTTTAAAAAAAAAAAAACATCTTAACATGAATCAAATGACATGGGAAGGATGGGGACTATTGGGAAAGAGATATTTGTAACAAGAACAAGATGGTCCAATGGGTGATGAGTTTCCCCGGTTGTCCCTATACAAAAAATGTATGCATATTCAACTCCTACCTAGGAAGAATAGCTTAAAAATCCAAGGAGAATTATTAAGTGGAAATGCAAGCAGCTAATGCTGATGGTCTAAAGTCGGAAAATGAAGAAATGAATAGAGAAAACCAGCAACTTCCTACCATTTGTTACATATATGATGCAAGCCTATTAGGATTATGCATGACAGAAAAAAAAAAAAAAGAAATTCTCCTTTTTAATAAATGTACTATGGAAACACTTAAGGTTGGAAAATAAAGTGCAAGATTAATAATGTTATGATTCTAATGCATGTAATAGGAAACTACGAAATGAGATGAGAATTAATGTATCTGAGCAAAATTTTATTTGGACTAACTACTCTTTTGCTCAAATGAAATGGACATCGATGCTGCTAAAAATGTACATGCAAGGCAATAAAAAAATAATCTATTAGAACATTTTTCATCTTTACAATGAATGGTTGGCCAATTCTACTTGATTGCTAAAATGTCAAAAGCTGAAATTATCTACATTTAGAGGGTGTTCTTTTTGGGATTTTGAGAGGGGGGAAAGTCAGTCAATGGGATTTTGGTTTCCAATAACCAAGAATCCCATGTTTTTTTTTAAATTTATGTGGGGACCAGGGAAAGTTTATTTTCCTAGGTATCACTTACCCTAAGTGGGTAAATAACTTTTCCACCTAGGGGGAAAGTTGCTTACACTTGAATGGGACAAAAATGTCCCTTTTAATAATGGACTTTTATGGTTAAAATGGCCATTGCCTTATTTACATGAGAAATAAAAGAACATGGCTAAAGGCACTTACCCGGGCAAGTGTTTCTCAGGAAAAACTTACCCAAGTAATTGCATTTTCTTGATCGAAAAGCAAACCAAGCCTTAATAATAGATAGAAAACATGCAATGGACTTCATGAAGCACCATAAAATGCTAGCCAAGCACTTCTTCACGATAATGACAAAGAATAATTAGAAAATTAATTAAATGGATTCAATGGAAGGAACTTACCCGAGATATAGTCTAGGAGCCAAAGGCGAGTAAAGACACTATTGCACCAGTATACATCCATTTGACATGCTTGACATCTTCCGATGCTCTCCCCAATTACGTGAATACGTTTTAAG